TTTTCCTGAAGTTTCTCTTCAGGCAGCCCTTCTTTGAGCATGGCATTCACTACATTCGCCAGCTCTGTGTTTACACTTAGGCCCGTCTCCTCTTTCTTCAGCTCTTGTTTCAAGCTGTTAAGTACCTCAAATTTTCCTTCATTAGAAGGCATATTTTGAGCCCCGGTTGAGTCAGCCAGCTTTGTCACAGCTTCTTCTAAGCTCGTAGTTTTGTCATGTCGCTTCTTCTTCGTGGGGGGCTCTTCGCTGACCTCGTGGTCATTCTCGGCAGATTTTGCCTCCTGTTCTTCCTCCGTGTCAACATATTGTATTTCAAAGTCTGACTGAAACTGTTTGAACGACTCAGCAATAGTCTTGGATAAATCTTGAGACATCTGGGTGAAACCCTGTCTCAGCGTAGCGGCCAGCTCTTGTAAACCATGTGAGTCAGTTTTGGCGCCATCGGCGCCATCACCTCTTTCGATGATTCTAACATTTGCTTCAATGTGTTCGCTTCTAGAGCCACTACTTTTCCTTTTTAAGTTGTCTTTCTCGCCCTTAAGCTCAGATTTATCCGAGGTCTCGGGCATTTTTTGCGAATTATCGCTTAAAACTAAAATTCTCAGCGTGTTGAAAAAACAAACGTCCGTTCGCTCCAAAGGCGGCAACACACTGAGTTCGCGCAGGCGCAATGCTATCTCACGTGAGCCCTCAGTGCGGTGACGGAATAGAATTTCCAGCTGTCTCCCAACACTCGTTATGCCAATATCTTTTAACACTTGGCGGTCCACCATTGGTAACGACTTTCCGGGAATTTCGGCTCCTGTCAAAGTGCAACGTAAAACTGAACTGGATCAAAGCTTAATTTTTAGCTCAGTTATATCAGGGTCCACTTATCACAAAATTTGCTGCATATCAAGTTCCAATATTGCGGCAGCACATACCTTTCATAAGCGAAATTTCTTCCTTTTTAAATTTGTCAGTGTCTGTCATCCACTGTGTTAGATCAGAGCAACTCCATTCTGAGAATAAAGATTTAAGAAAAATATGCTTGTGCACAACCAGCTACAGTACGGCAGTAGGTTTATAAAGCAGTGCG